TTACAGGCTTAACTAAGGCCAGGCTGGGAAGGAGGGGGCCTCCCCACCCACTGCTGGGAGTTGTTCCACAGAATCATAACTATGAGTGCAGGCAGATGGACTTGCAAATATCCTCATGATTTTCTGGGCTCTTTGGCCAGGTCCATCCCCACCAAGAATTCAGCAGGGTCTGCCAAGGGGGTAGAGAACAGCTGACCAAGGAGAAGGGGACGCACCAGCAGGGGGATGGGTCTCCCCATCATTGACCACCTTGAAGTGACCAGGCCATGGACCCTGGTCATCTTCATTCATCCTCAAGAACATGATCCCTTAGAGCCTGAAGAGAAGGTATGAGGGACAGATGGAGTGACTGAGTGACCAAACCCCTTCACCCAGCAGCCCAGGGAACAGGTCAGGATTGTCTCCAGGGCACAGAAGTTTCAGCGGAAGTTTCCCACAGTCACACAACAGAGGCTCCATTAGAACACAGGTCCTCTGACTCTCCACAGCTCTTGACTCCCTACTCCTCACTTGCCCAGGCACCACACCACCTCCAGCCAGAACAATGAGAGCATGAGAGCATATTAGATGCCAGGTGATGCTAGCAGTTTCCCAGGATAGCTTGGGTCTTTCCAGAGCTCCTGTCTGTACAGTCCCTGGCCCTCAGGCTCTGCCGTTTGCCTGAATCTTGACAAAGCATAGCGGCGGAAGGGAAGACCTTTGCAAATGCTTCCGTTGGGCTGACAGCCCTTCCTTTCTGCAGGAGGAGCAGCTGGAGCGGGAGCCATGTTGCTGTGCTCTCTGGCTCTCTCCCTCATCCTGCTGGCGGTCTCTGGCATCGAGTGCGATGTGAAGGAAGTTTGTGCTGCAAGCCCAGGCATTCCTGGTGCTCCGGGATCCCACGGCCTACCAGGCAGAGATGGGAGAGATGGTGTCAAAGGAGACCCTGGACCTCCAGGTACTGGCTGGGAGAAACTACCCTTCTGTTTTCAGAAGCCCCGTGGCTCTGGGCTGGGCCCAAGGGTCAGCTGGATGGTGGGACATAACAGGTTTCCCGGGGCCTTAGACTGGAGTAGCACTGGAAGGTCACTCCTCAAAGTGCTCATGGGGTGACAGGTGAGTCAGCCCACCTGGTAATTGAGGTTCAGTCACATGAGTCCAATCCAGTTGTGGGTGATAGATACCATATATCCATGTCTCCTTCTCTCTGCAGGCCCCATGGGCCCCCCTGGAGGAATGCCAGGCCTCCCTGGGCGTGATGGACTGACTGGAGCCCCTGGCATCGCTGGTGAGCGTGGAGATAAGGGAGAACCTGGCGAGAGGGGCCCTCCAGGTGAGCAGGGTCAGCAGGTGGACAGTGGCAACACAAGCACAGCGCCCATGCAACTGTTACGTGATGGATGGTTGGGATCAGACAAAACAATGGAGGTCCCAAAGGGCATATTGCTCAACCTAAATAGAATATGAGGTTGAGGAGAAATCAGAAGGGTCTGGGTAGTGAGCCACATTGCAAGGACTGATGGGTGTTAAAAGTACTCCATGTATCATGGCTGCTGTAGGGGAGATACAGGGTATCAGAGGTGGGAAACAAGCGCATGGGGAGCCAGTGGAGGCACTTCCGAGGGTTAATGCGCTGGGAGCATTCTGAAAGGTGTACGAGGTTATGTGAACCAAGGATCAAGGCAGATGGTTAATTGGGAGCCCACATGAAGAGGATCTGAGTAGTAATCAAGGTTCATCAGGAGAGTGCAGAGAGTGCAGAAAGAACCACACTTGCCCTTGGTAGAGGGTGGCAGAGGGGGCCCTGCCC